GCACAGGCCAACAGGCCTATTGCAGACTTCTTATTTTCTTATGTTCTTATCTGCTCACCACCCTGAAATACAACGGCTGGGCATGAATGAGTCTGTGGGATGATTTGCTGAATCTGCAAAGTGCGAATGCCATCCTACACACTGTTGCAATTTAATTATTGCATTGCAAACTCAAACACTGTTTAGATTGTAAGCGTTAACCTTAAGAAATTGATGTGACCCCATGACACTGATTCTTATAGCCCAATGTGTACTACAACTGACTTAAATGAATATGTATGCAAGTTCTTGTTGAGGCATCACGGCGTATATAACAGATGTACGAGAGACGAACTGTCACTTCTTGACTCTTCTTCCTCATCTATCGGGTTCATACCGTATCGCACACCGCCATATTATCAGTGTTCAGGTTTTAAAGTAGTTGAACGTCTTATGTGCCAAATGATTGTGTAACATAACTGGGTGCTTTCTGTGTTGAATGATCCATTCGTTCTCTTGCCAGACGTGTTTTGTGACATTTTTGTATATGATTTTAGTCACTTCTTGACTCTTCTTCCTTGTCTATCAGGCACTGAATGTGGTATTGCCACTGCCGAGTATCGGCAGCCGCCTGCAGGCAAGATGTCCGATGCAGGATGTCTTTAATTCCTCGAGATTAAGACCAGAGTGCATCACGAGCCCTGCGGCGGCACAAGAGTGTAGCCGAGTGGCATTTGTTTTGAATACCAGGTGTACTGATCCTGACTGTATGTGGATGAATTATTGGGAATATAATTGTCCCAGGTTGAGTATTGAGACCATACGTCTAACGATCACCAGGATTATTGTTTGTGAAGTATGTGTGTGAACCAGCTGTACTCACAGCTGAGATGTGCTGGTATATGTTTCCCTGTTAATCAAGTAATAGCATGGTGCTCTACTAGGTAGTAGGTACTACCACCTGGGAAGATATTGGAAGTATAATGTACTGTCTAATGGTAGACCCTGCTGCCATATGGCATTACGAAAATTGTGACCAAGTCCCAGGTTGCTGATCTGACTTTCTGCCTCATTTACACACAATTGTAGTCTCAATTGTTTCTTTTACTTTGACAACAAAACATACATATAGAGTTTCTCACTATGATATTTTTTTTTACATTTTTGTATTTATTTATGGTTCTTTATTATTATTATTACTATTATTATTATATTTTTTTTAATTGTTATGTTTATTTATTTTATCAATTAATATTATTATTATTGCCCCCCCCCTCCCACCAGGTCTCCAATGTGGGTCAGTGACCTGTGCCCGGGTGGGCTAATGCCCATAAAAAAGTAATACCATCATTCTGTGCTATTGGCAAGTGTTGAGAGAGACTCTCACTCTAGTATCACTGTTGTGTAATAATACGGTAAGGAGGTATACAGTAACTATTGAATGTTGTAACTGATAATTGAAGATCTATTTTTGCTACTTATACAGTACAATCTATTGGTCAGTTCTGTTTTAACTAAGTATTTCAGTAAAGTAATCAGTAATTGAACCTAATTTTGGTTGTTGTGAGTAAAGGTTCAAATTGTCACAGTATTCAGATTTGATTTTAATAAATATTGATTCAGTAGAATGTGTATCACCACTCATTCCTTCAAACAATTGCCATCCCTGAAAATACCCTTGATAACATACGTGCCTAACCTCTCGTGTCTACCAAGCTACCACTTTAATTGAGAAGTTCATTGTGGATGTTAAATAAAAAAAAAGCCTGGGTGGTGGCAGCTCTAAGATATATATATATACTTATTTATATATATATATATATATATATATATATATATATATATATATATATATATATATATATATATATTATATATATATATATATATATATATATATATATATATATATATATATATATATATATATATATATATATATTAATATTTTTTTTTTTTTTTAAGGGGAAAAGCCCACCCGGGAACAGATTAACCCACAGAATGGAATATTACTTAGTAACTCTGAGAATGTAAGTAAATAAGAGGAAATAAATAAATAAGTAAGAGACACAAAGACATACAGTAAATACTTTGAGAAAATGAATTAGATGTTAAAGAAAAGAAAAACTTAGAAACAAGAATAAAATAAATATAACCAAGAAGATTATAAAGAAAAGAATAAAGTGACAACCCAAACTTTGAAAGTTTGCCCTCTTACACTGTACATGCCCAGCACTTGCCAACAGTGTGTAACAGAGACGTGGCCGACCGCTCAAGTGGTTAACGAGCTGATCAGTGGCGAAGAGGATAAAAAAAAAGTCACGTGGGTTTGTTTATAAATATTTGGGTCTGACACTGTCATGTGCAGTGGACTTGCTAAGGTTAATAAATCGAGTTAATAGCTTTCATATTATGATAGATTACGTCTAATAACCTAAAATATAATTAACAGAGACATAATATACAGTACATCCGTGTTAGAAATGTTGGTGGTACACCGAGCAGTGGTAAGGTGTGATCCAGTGTGACGCTTCCAATTACAGGCTTCCTCCTGCACTAACACTGAACATTAAAGTTCATAACAAAGTAATAAAATAAGGGACCAACCCTCTGAAGGGCTAGTAAAATGATAAATGGTGAATTAAACCCTCATATCTGAGGGTTGGCGCCCACATCCTTCCCCTCTAAACGTTTTTGGGGGTGTTTTTACCAATCCTATAAGATTTTACATTTCTTTGGTGACACAGTTTTTAATTCCATCCATCCATCCCAGTCTCTGTCTACCCTCAACTTTGTTCATTAATATTTCTGTTATTATACCCATCCCTAATTATATGACCGAAATATCTTTCTCGTATTGGGGGTAAATGTAGTATTTCTCTTGATATTTTTTACTATTCTTTGTACTTTCTTATTTTCTTTCCAGTCTGTGTTACTTTATTTCCACATTTCAAAGGCCTCTAACCTTTTTATGCTTTGTGGTGAATGTTATAAACTCGATTATGCAGCACATATGGAGACGCGGTTTTTCATAGGCCATTGACACACTCTTTTTTCATTCACTGCCTTGTTTTCTTTTTCATGACCTCCTTTCATATTCCTTCGGCGTGGTAAACGAGGAATGCTTCGAGTACGAAAGTGGGAAGGACAGGGAAGCTCCCCGTCTGCCTTGTCTCAGACAACGCAAACCTCCTCAACTTCAGCCGTGCTGCAAATGACGTCAGTACTGTTGGGCCTATCACACTGTCCTTTTATCACTCTGCATACACACACACACAACATCTGTGAGGGAACTACTACACCACATGAGGTCCCTCCTAACACCATCTGGGAGGGAGTTACTACACTACGTGTGTGCTGTTCAACACCTACTTTAATCTGTATGTTCACTGTATGTTGCTTTACCTTTCTCTAATGAAGGCTTTTGTTAAACCACCAATGTATGTAATAAGTCATTTATGTCCAATGCATATTTTCAGCCTTCGGGCTGCAGAAATATTTCAATAAACCGTTAATTATTATTATTATTATTATTATTATTATTATTATTATTATTATTATTATTATTATTATTATTATTATTATTATTATTATTATTATTATTATTAATATTATTATTATGATACACAAGGTACAATAGATCAAGTGGCAGATGAAGGATGAGTATTACCAGAGTACACTTGCATTCATCCTCAAGGTTTCGTGAGTTTATTATGATAAGAGTCAGCTGTTTCCTAGAACTGTCCCTTCCCGAATATCCCATTTTACTCAGGAAGTTACTGGTGGTGTTGGCTGTCATGTCATATCTAGGACTGCTAACTGCATTTCACTTATTTAAGTAAAGAATCATTGGCAGGATAGTGTGTTAGCCAATTGGTGTACAGGTGCTGTACACTGATGGTTCAAACATTATTACTTGCTGCTTAATGAAAGCTGCTTTCAAGAACTAGCAATTAAGTAATGCGGTAGTTGAACGTATATTTTCGCATGTTACAAATGTAAAAAGTAACGTACGAAATAAACTCTCATCCAATTTATTATCTGCCAACGTAAGAATCAAAACAAGACTGCACTTCAATAACTGTAGCAAAGATTTCACAGTTAGTCAGGAGATGCTGAACTTGTTTAATGACAATGTTTGTGCAACATCTGCAAGTTTTGATGAAATCAACAGACCATCAACTTCAGATGCGCAATAAGATGACAACAACGATGATTTTGATGTTATAATCGGAGTGCTATTTTAGCAAATGACGAGTGTTTAAGTGTTTAAATTTGTTTTGAATACTCTGGAGCAATTCCCAATAAGTATTATATCTACTGTATTAGATAATTTCAAAATATTCTAGTAGAATATATATATATATATATATATATATATATATATATATATATATATATATATATATATATATATATATATATATACATATATATATATATATTTCATGTAAATCCACAATGAAAACGTGGATAAGATAAATCTTGATAATCATTGTTGGTTTTACATGATATATATATATATATATATATATATATATATATATATATATATATATATATATATATATATATATATATATATATATATATATATATATATATATATATATATATATATATATATATATATATATATATATATATATTGATATTTATAACATTGTATCGAGTTATGATTTGTCCTTTTAGTTTGGCGTTTACCTGTAAAATGAACCTGACAACCCTGAGTCGGGTGACCCTCCTACAGGTAGGCTCCACAGGTGGTCTGGCGGGGCCGACCTGTTGGTTTCATCGCCATATTCACTATCCAGAAACACCTCTTTTTAAAAGTTCTCCCACCCTGAAACCTCTCTCCTAACACTTTACAGTGCACGAGAAAACATACTATAGTTTAACAAAAGCCATATGAAAACATACATGATTATGTAATAAAGCTGGGTGGTGTAAACAAAGAGAAAACACGAATTGGTATCTTAACATGTGCGTGGGGACAAGGTTAGGTTGGGTCTTCAGTGTGAGTCAAGCAGTGGAGGAAGAAGGAACGTCGCTCCTCTCTCACCCTCACGGACTTTATTATCACCATTATTATTACTGCACTACCATTAGCCCTATGGTTCAGCTTGCTTTACTCTCGTATCTTTGGCTCTGGTAAGTAACTGAACTTTTATTTTAGATGTAAGTTTTTTTAATAGTAAAGTAAGAAGGAAAGTATATATATATATATATATATATATATATATATATATATATATATATATATATATATATATATATATATATATATATATATATATATCATGTAGATCCACAATGAAAACGTGGATAAGATAAATCTTGATAAAATCACACAGGGAAACAATGGAGCACCTTGCTTTCGTCTTTATTCCCTGTGATTTTATCAATATATATATATATATATATATATATATATATATATATATATATATATATATATATATTAGTGATAAATGTCACATCCTCATTTAGAAGAGGATGGGATGTTGCGGATTCGTAAAACTTGGGATTTTTATAGCATTTTATAATATCAATATTTATATCATACATATATATTTTATCACACACACACACACACACACACACATCAACAGTGATGAACTGGCTTATCGGGAATTCGGTCATTTTCCCGACTGGACAACTTCCGACATTTTGGTGTCATCAGTATTAAGCATGGTGCACCTGATGATTTTTACATCAGTAGATTCTACGGGGATATATTGGTAATATATTCGTAAGGTACACAATGGGGGTTAAGTTTAGACTCTTAATTCAAATACATCTTAGGTGTTCTTAGAAGGAGAGGTGGTGCGGTCTTTCTTACGGTGTCTGTGTCGGGTGAGGCCAAAGAGAAAAATTAATATTTAGATGTCAAACTGAATTGAAATCTAGATGAGAATTTACTTGAAAAGTAAGTACAGATATCAAAATTATGATATATATTCACCACTGGAATGTCCTATCAGATCAGTAATTTGAAAAATGATCCGGTGATCGAACATAATTTGGCGTGAAGCTTCAAGCCGTGATGATCTTCCACCTAGTGCACATATTTATATTTTCTTTTACTTTTTGTTTTTAATTTGATCCTCTGCGCCACTGATCGGCTCGTTAGCTGCATGGGCGGTCGGTCACGTCTCTATTAGGAACTGTTGGCAAGCACTTGCTTCAGAATGTATCTGTACTTGTGCCAGTGTTGGTCAAGTCTGGTCTTGAAAGAGCTCACACTTGGTGCCGTCACAACACTCTCTGGCAGAGTGTTCCAAGAATTTACAGTTCTCACTCCGAAAAAGTGTGCCCTCGCAATTTTCTGAACTTGTGACTTCAAACCTTATGCTGTGACCTCTAGTGCGGCGGGATTCCGCCAGCTCCAGGTATGGACACACGACTGAGATATTTTAATTTCAATTAAATCACCCCGCACGTGTCAATAGTATATGATGACAGTTGCAGGTTTTCTAATCTCTCTGGGTAACTGAGGTGCCGTAGGGCAGGCACTAGTCTGAGGGCCCTACTTTTGACATTTTCAATCAACTTTCAGTCCCTATCATATCTCGGGAATCAGTACTCCAGACGGGGAAGCACCTCACTCTTATAAGACCCACCTTATTCTCACAATGGCCCGAGAACTTCAGTTCGTTGTCCACATACTCAACCAGGTCCTTTTCACCTTTGGTCCCTATTAATGCTGCTTCTCTCTCCTGTTGGGACATGTGATACGCCTCCTTACTGTTGGTATGACCTAGGTGCATCCTCTTAAACTTTGTGACATTGAATTTTAACAGTCATTTCTTCGACCACTTTTGAAGCTGACAGAGATCTTTCTATACTTCTTCACAGTCCATTTGGTTCAATTTTTCGTGAATAACTTGGTACCGCCTCAGTTTTTTCGTCAATCTTCTTTTTTACCTTGTCCGTAACTCTGGGCCTGGGTAATGTTTCGGTCCCGTGTGTGTGTGTGTGTGTGTGTGTCCCAAAATAACATGAGAACGGGTTTGCGGATAGATTTTTGGTGCAAATCGCGTGAACATTTCTCAAGTAGGTCCATGGTGACAGTTTTCACCATGATAATCCATAAGAGATTAAAGATGTTTAAAGAAAACGATGACATGGCACAGTTTCCAGCAGTGACCACATTAATTTCGTTACAGAATCATTACTTCGATATTTGCCCTACCACTACTATGGTAACGGTTCGCGGGAAATGTTTGCCTTTGCTTGAATGAAGTTTACGATACTGTATGTTATACAGTTCTTTCAATTATCGTGTTTCTTACCAATGTTCATTATTTTTCTTTTTTAATAAAATTTTCTGCTTTCGTACTTCTTTATGTTCAACTATCTCATTTTCTTTTGTTTCATCGTCAATTTCTTTTTTTTTTGCGGCATAATTATTATTTAATTTTTTTTTTTTTTTTTTTTTGCTACCCGGTATATCGTTTGTGCATTTTTGCAGTTTTATTATTTCCCTCGATTTTTTATCTCATTTATCATCAAATTTAATTACAGAACTTTGCTAAACAGTTTCATTTTTTTTTGTTCATCAGAATTCTAGTTTGTTTTATTTGCGAATGGTCAGGTTCTGATTTTTTTGTCGTTATCAGATTTCTTATTTACTTTATCGTTACTTTCTTCGTGTTTATTTTCTTTATCATCATTTCGTCTCTACTTTTAAATTCACTCTGCCTTGATCTACTCTTAAGAGATTCTTATGTAAGATTTTTAACCTTAAGCAAGTGATGCTACAAGGATGACGGTCTCAAAGGGCGCCTAAACTACACCCAGACTATACCATTATTAATACGTATACGCTATCTGACGACTATTTGTGAGAAATAAATTAACATACGAACCTTTGAGAAATCTGAAGCATCAAAACAAAGATTTCTGTCACAATAACGCAGGAAACAGCGACGATTTTATTCTTTCAAAAAATCGTAAACCGTACAAACTCGGACTAGAGGGTTACACACACAGTGGACAGTTGATGTACAATGTGTGGTTGAAACTTATACCACTGAGTGACTTTGTTGATTATGACTAAACCAAGTACTGGAGCCTACTAGTTGTCGTTTATTTTCTCTTTGTCAATCAATCAAGAGACTTATTATTATTACAATTATTATTAACTAAGACTCCTCATAACCTGTATGTTTTAACCCACTTCCCTTTAACCGTTACACCTGGAACGTAAACAAACATCCATGTACTGTACAACAATATTGACTGGCAGAGGAAAATCTGGCTCACTTTCACACTCTTGAATTGAGTGAGAGAGAGAGAGAGAGAGAGAGAGAGAGAGAGAGAGAGAGAGGACTACAAGTTTTATAATAGAAAACTTGTGTTGACTCCTGAGCTTCCTCATACTTGCTAGAAAATGGATAATGCTGGGTTTTGTTAGTTACGGCTTTGTTATATTGTAGTGGAGTCCTCCTAAGTGTTGTTTTTTTCGTTTTATCCGTTCAGAAATTACTCTACAGTACAAATGCAGCTATAAAAATAGGTACACCACAGTAGTTCAGGTACAATAGTCTTGGCACAAGAATAGTAGTGTTATGCCGAGGCATAATTGGGGATTATAATGTTTGTAAACTAAGTATTTTGATTATTTTCTATTCCAAGCAGCAGTTATTTTGACAGCTTTAGGAAGACTTTCTTCTCTATTGATGTATTGCCGTTGTGTGGATTTTCTAGAATGTACTGTATCATTTTTGTTATGATTTACTTCTTATTGTAAGTCTTGATCAGAGTAGAATGTACTAGAACTTCCCAGACTTGTCTGGATTGTGCTATGGTGTTCTAGGATCGTCTGATGAGGCATAAAAGCTGCAGCGTGCGACGCCTAGTCAGCGCTAGGTGGATAGCCCACCTCTTATTTTCTTCCACTTTACTTCCTGTTTCATAACTTTCCTTCTATCTTTCCTCTTCTCTCCCTTCCCATGGCAAACCATTGCCATTTTATCTTCATTATCATCATCAACATCCTAGTCAGCTAGTCGACCGTTTCTGTGAAGTACAAGCCTAGTAGGACAACTGAAGATAAATGTTGTGCACGGATTGTGGAATTGTTGTGAGCAATATAAAAGTGAAAAGACTAAGGAATTGTACACTGGTAGTGTGCTGACTATACTGTATATTCGAAGTGGGGAGTCCAGCTGTGACTACGTTACCCTGTGAACAGTGTTGTGAAGAATTAGTGATCATTAAAGCAGACTACAGTACACAACTGTGTTTCAGTGACCTGGTGGAAATCTACCTGCTTGTTGTTTGCCTGTACACTGATACCGATCGTCGGGAAATTATCGGAGACTGGCGGGACAGTCAGTGGTAATTTGACGTCACTTGTGATATATCTACTGCTTCTGTACATACGACCTGGCCTCTGGTAACCAGCAGTGGACGCTGGGTAAGCAGTGAAAGGAGGGGTCGTAAGAGTAGTTTAGGTACAGGTACAGGTACAGTAGTTTAGGTACGAGAACAGTAGTTTACACAGGTACAGTAGTTTAGGTACAGCAATGTAGTACAGGTAGGGGTACAGCACTTTAGTTTAGGTAGAAATACAGACAACAAAATTAATACAGGTTACAGACACAGTATAGATCAGGAACAGGTAAGGACACCGTATTTGTTAGGTAAGGTTAGGTTAGATTAGATTAAATAAAGTTAGATTATGTTAGGTTAGGTTAGTGCTCTATTCTCTCACGATCTGTAATTGGGTAGCTTCTCGTTATACGCTTCTTCGTTACAGTCACTCATCACCACACCATCAACGCAGTTCATTAATTTGGGGGTTATTCTTCTCGTTTATCATCACCATCCGTCCTCACACACGCGCCAAGGTGCAGTAGTATACGTTTAGTGGGAAACATTATTCGTTTAGTCCATCCACGTTCCTGAATCATATTATTATACTCGTTAATCATTCGTTAAACGTGTTAGACCTGTCGTTCTCTTGTAGCACCGTAGTTTGGTAGTTAGTAGTTGTATGTTGGGAAGTGTGTGTATGTGGTCGTTATGTGTAGATCGAAAAAAAAAGCCACTACTGACACTGCCATCAAGTTCACTAAATTTATGCATTGTAACTTCCTATCCCTGGTATCAGATCACTTAACATGGTACGTGCAGTTGTGTTC